TCATATTGTACATGCATTCTAGTTTAAAATCCTAAAGTGGCAATAGAATAGACAATAGGATTAAAAAGTTTCAGAATTTTCATTATTAAAATTTCTTTTGAAAAAAGAAAATATCAACACACCTTAAAAGACTTTCTAAAATACATAATCACAAGAAATTATAGTTTTTTATGTTTCAAAATGGTAAAAGGGGTATAAATGATTAAATCTAGACCTTGATTGAGTATCTTCTCTTGTATATGTAACGAAAAATTGGCTTTTTGATTGTTATTTTACATTATTTTTACCGGGTAAATTCTGGTTTGAAAAGTTTTAATATGAAAAAAATGTGAAGCAATAAAACTCCCCAAAATTCACTTTTTTGTCCGTTCAAGTCAATTCTTTAAATCTAAGCCAAAAAAGAATTGTTATATTCGAGTTCTCTTACAAAAAATACTAGATTTTGAAGAGACCTTATGTTACATTATTTTGTTGCACTCCTAACATCTGATATGTATTTTATTTAACATTGTTTTAAAAATTATAACACACAATAACCCATTCTTACTTTGAAAATCAATTTGTTGTTTTGATATTTTTCATCATTTACGGCAGGCTTTTCATATTTCAAAGACCTTAAAACATTATTTGCAAAGTGTAATATATGTAAATTGTATTTAAAAATATGTTTGAAATGATGAAAACTATTCCCTGAATTGACTGTAAAATTTCTGTAATTTGTTGATAGACATAGTGTTTTGAACATCAAATAGTATCAAACATTTTTTTCAACTTATTTTTTAGTAAAGATAGTTAAAAAGCATTAGTAATTATAAAGCAGTTTTGTTGCACTCCTGACTGCAGGAAAGTTTAAAATAAAAACCATAGAACACAAAAATTCATAAAGTGTGGGCAACATCAAGTGGTAATGAAATTGTGCAATACTTATAGTCCAATACTTCACAATTAAAACAGATGAAAGTATGTAAAATGCATTTTATCTGGAATTATTCCCTATTTATGCCAAAAAACTAGCTTAAATGTATATTTAGAAGATAAAATATATTTTATAGCATATTTTCCTTTAGAGGACAAAAACAGTAACCCACCAGAAAAATTCTGCTCATCATTTTTTCTTTATTTTTATTTTTATTGGATGATTTGTAATTCTAACATATTTGTTGCACTCCTGACCAAAAGATTGTGGCCTTGAAAGTAGAATTGTGAAGTGAAAATTACATAAGAACTTGTTCTGTTGTTTCAATGAAGTTGAGGAGGAATTACTTGAATTTTATGACATTTTTTTAGTGTGTTTATTTTTAATATTCATAAAAAAATCACAAAAAAGATAAAAACACATCTGAATTGATAAAATTGAAAAAGGAAGGATTTTAATAATAAAACTGTCAATAATTTAGTATTAAATTATACAAAAAGATCATTATAAATTAATGAATACATCTTAGCATGAATAGAAGTGTTTTCGTCACACTACTTGAATCTTTTAAAAAATGTGTTGCACTCCTGACCATAGAAATATAGATCTGAAGCACAGACAGACCCTGTAATTGATAAATCTATTTGGTAAAAATGTTTTTTGTGTCTTTATTTTCCAAAATAAAAATCAGAAAATCATATAATGATAATAGTTTTTTCATGCTTGGGAGCAAAACATCAAATGTTGCACTCCTGTCATTATTGGGTATGCACATATACTTGACTCTCATTAATGCTGCTTGTGATTTACATGTATATAACATTTTTATGCCCCCGGATCGAAAGATCCTGGGGGTATATTGTTTTTGTCCTGTCTGTCTTTGTCTGTTTGTCCGTTTGTCTGTCTGTCTGTTGTCAACTTTAACCTTGCCCATAACTTTTGATTGGTTGGAGCTATGACTTTCGTATTTCACATGTGTATTCCTTGTGACAAAACCTTTCTTTGGGTACCATCATATTTGACCTTTTGACCTTGACCTTGGAGTTTGACCCACTTTTGCAAAATTTTATGAGACTTTAACCTTGGCCATAACTTCTGAACGGTTGGTGCTTGGGGTTTCAAACTTCACATGTGTATTCTTTGTGACAAGGCCTTCCTTTGGATACCAACAACTTTGACCTTTTGACCTTGACCTTGGAGTTTGACCTACTTTTGAAAAACTTTAACCTTGGCCATAACTTTTGAACAGTTGGTGCTTAGGGTTTCAAACTTCACATATGTAATCCTTGTGACAAGATCTTCCTTTGGATACCAACCACTTTGACCCTTTGACCTTGACCTAGGAGTTTGACCTACTTTTGAAAAACTTTTACTTTGGCCATAACTTTTGAATGGTTGATGGTAGGGCTTTCATACTTCACATATGCAATCCTTGTGACAAGACCTTCCTTTGGATACCAACCACTTTGACCCTTTGACCTTGACCTAGGAGTTTGACCTACTTTTGAAAAACTTTAACCTTGGCCATAACTTTTGAATGGTTGGTGCTAGGGCTTTCATACTTCACATATGTAATCCTTGTGACAAGATCTTCCTTTGGATACCAACCACTTTGACCTTGACCTTGACGTTTGACTTTTATTTAAAAAACTTTAACCTTCGCCATAACTTTTGAACAGTTGTATCTAGGTCTTTCAAATTTCACAGGTGTATTCCTCGAGACAAGACCTTTCTTTGGGTATCAACATTTTTTATCTTTTGGCCTGGATTTTGACTTGCATTTGAAGAAACTTTAACCTTCGCCATAAGCTGCCATACGGGGGCATCAGTGTTTCACAAACACATCTTGTTAAGTTCTAAAATGTATATCAGTTATTGTTTTACACTTTGCAAATTCTTTTTTGTCTTAATTTTCTTTCAGAATTTTACAATTGATGTTTTTTTGGCAACACTACATTTTATTTGCACTCCTGACATGGTATAGCATTTTTTTAAACATCAGCCATGACCCCAACTTGATTAAACAGAAGTTATGACAGTCCACATTTAAAGCTCAATACTTTGAATATTATCAGGAAAGTCTTTATTTTCAACATAAACCATTATTATTTATTTCACAGATCTCCCAAAAATATTGAAATTTCAAATTGTCACAAAAAGGTGTTGCACTCCTGACAATTTTAGCATCATTTTTGGGCATATTTTTTTTGTTAAATGAGATATCAACGAGATATTTGGCAGGTTTTTAGACACTATCTAAAGACATAAGCTGAGACATAGAAATCTATTTTCATTGCCTGTATGTTTAGTGTGGGTTGATAAATATGCGTTTGGTCATTTTCTTTTTAATTCACCCTATTCTGGCCCAGTAGTTCTTGAGAAGATTATTAAATATTTTTCCTATATATTTCAATGTAAAACTTTGATTCCCTATTGTGGCCCCATCCTGCCCTGGGGGGTCATGATTTGAACAATTTAGAATCTACACTACCTCAGTAAGGTTCCACATAAGTTTCAGCTTTTCTGGCCCAGTAATTCTTGAGAAGAAATTGAAAATGTGAAAAGTTAACAGATGGAAGGACGGGCGGACAGACGGTTGGACAACGGGTGATCAGAAAAGCTCACCTGAGCTTTCAGCTCAGGTTAGCTAAAAAGTTATACATGTACTTTACATCTATATTTCATCTTCAATATTTATCTTTGACAGCTCTTTGAAAACTCAGGAAAATATAGATGCAATGTGTTCAATACCTTCAGAAAGACTAATGATAGAAACAGGTATGTGTTGTTTATAACTATACAGTTTAAATTCTTGTTAGCGAGTCTTTCTGTTAGGGAAATATTTCGTACACAAGAGCTCCTGATTTTAGTGGGATCCTGAGGCTTTTCTGTATTCAAATATAAAGTGGTGTAAGTGTCAATTTATTAGAATATTATGTAATTTCTTTTTTTAGAGAAAGAGTTATTGCCCTGAATTTGTGTCGGAGACAAAAGGTTGAGTGTTCTCTGTAATAAACTCAATAGTGAGTTTCAGGAACATTTTCAGTGTCTTATATAATGTGTAACAAAAAGCTTTGTGTACGAGTGTGTAACCAGAGATCATGCAAGGTCACTCTAAGGAAGTGTTCCATCATTTTTATTTTAACATCCTTTTCCTCCTTGTACATTTTTATTTATAAACTTTCACAAAAGTATCAAATCACAAGTATTATGTCCTGAGTGTAAATAAAACTTCACTCAAAAAACTTTTAAACTACAAATGTTACAAGCTCATAAAAGCTGAAGGGAACATAGTCCTATTATAATGCTTTCATGCACTTCATTTGAACAGACGCCCCTTGGTGTGAAATCCGCCCAACTCATGCTGGTTTTAAACATATCAAAACAACTTTCCCCACAAGGAAAAAGGAAAAATGGGAGAAAGGATTTTGTGTCAAAAGCAGAAATGAACCTGCATTTATAATGTGAGTAAACACACTATAAATGTGTGCCTGTCAGGCCAATAAGCATCTAAAACACCTTCAATACAGAAAAATAATCCTTTATATAATGAGTTTGTGAATTCAATAAATGTAAATGAATATGAGAAAAAATATAGATATTTCAGATACAACAATTATATCTCCATTTCAGTCAAGTGTTGGAGGTGATGAGTGCAGCAAGACAAACAGAAATTGGAGAGCTGGCAGAACAGCTGTATAGCAATACATGTCAATTGTTTTTTCCTTAATAAAAATTGTTATACATATTCATCCAGTCTGTACAAGTTATTATTGTTAAATGATACCATTCAGATACATTTCTAGACCAATAGGCTAATAAGACACATGGCAATATTATAATGATTAAACCCTTGTCCACTGCAGGTGAACCCACAGGGATATAGTTAATGAAGTCCTTGACCACTGAAGATTTTACACCCCCAACCCCCCTAACTTTCAAGAAATGCCTTCAGGATAAAACTTTTCTGGAATATGATTGGACTGCAGACAACTGTCAAGTCTCCGTCTTCTTTTACCAATAAATGTCTACTAGTATACCTTGGTACATGTCCTACACAGAAATTTGAAACATGAAAAAATCATAGAGTGTTTACATATAGTTTATTAAAATAATGTAGCAATATGTATTAAAAAATCTGTACAAAATAATTTGAATATGATTCACAACACAAGCATCTGCCATTAAAATTTTTTTCCAGAAGCTACTGAAAAAGGAATGTATTCAGTTGAAATAAGAAAGATTGGATACATCAAATCAGACTTCTAAATATTGATCCAGATTTCAGACATGATTTAGCTGATAGTGGAATGTGTTAGACAGAAGACAGGGAATGTGCCTTTTTGATTGTCATTTTTCAGAAGTATTTTTACAATGGGAATGATGTGATATACATGTATATCCTGGTATCAGTAAGGTTTTACTTCTCCCAAAGAGATCAAGCACTATTATTTGGTAGCAATTTCTGCGTAGAAATTTGTTCATTGACGAGTTAAAAAAAACCAAAATTTCCCCCCAGGAAAAGCAATGACTTCATTTCATTAATGCAAACTGAATATCACCGATTTAATTTGGAAGAATGCTTTATCATTTTGATACAATTTGAGAAAACAATGCAATAATCAAAATAAAGCTTATAATATGTTTTATTTATTATTTATTATTACATGGAATTGGGTAAAAGGAAGGAAGGAATTTAAAAAAATCTCATATTTTTATAGGACTTTAAAAAAGGCAATAAGGCACAAGTTAATAATTATATGAGGGAATGACAAGTGGCAATTCATACAGGCTTGCTTGTACTATGTACAAATTGATTCAAAGTGTGCAAACATGGCTAGTCTAATCAATCTATTTCTGTACAACATTTTCAACACTCAAAAAAATGGACAAGTTTGTTTGCAGAAACTGCATGTACAAAACTTTCATATCAAAATATATATAAAAAAATAGTTCTGTGTCCAAGCACAGTATTGTAGATATAACAAATGTTTGATATTGCAACAGAATCTGAAATATAGTTGATAATGATGTTCTGATTATGAATCTTGTCTAACTTTACTTGAGCCTTTTTTGTGTTTCCTGATTGAAAAAATAATTGAAAAATACTTACTCTGAAGACATAAGAAAACCCTCAAACAAAACAATAATTCTGGAATGTTTCGAGATAAAGTTAATGTAATAATCCAAAAGGCATTAGAAATCACTAGGAATTTCCAGAGAGAGAATCTATCACACGATTTGTTTTTATCATCAACCCATCGGTTCGCCAGAATACTGGCCTTCAGAGCTCACAAAATAGTTGTCAAAGAAGTCTCGTAAATATTCAAATGTTGGTCTGGAATCAGCGTTTCTCTTCCAGCACTGAAGCATGATGTCATAGTATGGATCCGGACAAGGAACAGTTCCCCCTGTGGGTTTAGGCATTCTGTACCCCTTCTCCACCTTACTCAGCACTTCGTGTCCATTCATACCTTTGAAAATTTAAAATGCCTCAGAATCACTTTTTTTCCCCAAAAAGGTTTACATTTTTCCTCTATAGAAATACAATTATCTTTATATTTTTGCACATTTAATTCTTCAGACTATGAAGTCTCTTCACATAACATTGCAATAATGATATTTCAAGAGTTTTATACCTGGATATGGAACTCTTCCAAAAGTGATTAATTCATATAGTAGAACACCAAATGACCAAACATCAGATTTGATGCTGAATTTACGGTCAAAAGCAGCCTCAGGTGATGTCCACTTGATAGGGAATTTTGTGTCTGAAATAAAATATATGTTTGTGTGAAACTATGAAATATAATACAGAAACTTCTATAGGATTCAATTTGGCCTACTAAATATCATCTTGACCCCTAAATTACCATGTACTCTGTACAATGGCTCTATGGAATAGGCATATCAATTTATTTACTCAAATTTATCCTCTTTTTTGCTCCATGTGGGTAAATAATTAACAAAGGACACATAATACAAACCATTTTCCAGCCTATGGTAACAGGAAAATTTTTTAAAAAGGGGTCTCATTATCCTTAACCTTAAAGACATTAAATTTTTTTCTCACAATTTTCAAATTTACATTTAATCAACTAGTACATTTATATCTTATCAATTACAATTATTTCCTCAAATAGGGTCTTCATTTTGGCCTAAATACTTGTTAGGACATACATTGTTGCCTTCTTAAAAAAAATAGTGCAGAGATTTTTTTTGAAACTGGGCTTACGTTCATGTGCTTCATATATATCTTCCTGAATTAACCTAGCCAGACCAAAGTCTGCGACCTTGACATCGTTGTTTTCTCCTACTAGGATGTTGGCAGCTCGTAAATCTCGATGGACAAAATTTTCATTTTCCAAGTAGGCCATTCCATCAGCAATCTGTTAACATAAATATTTCATATATATATGATCATATTTCATATTCTGACTGATATTTATGAAAGCTTTTAAATTGAATATTTCAGAAATGTAATAAGTTCTCTTTCCATTACAATATAATATTATTTATCAATGAAGAGCAAATATTAAATGTATTTAACAAACATCTGAATATCAATAACATACATGTAGATTTGATAAATTTCAGACACTTAAACTCTACAGGAGCCTTGAAAATATTGGAAATTTGGTGAAAATACTGTACACTGCTCATCAAAATGTACAAAAAAGTGTACAAAATATCAACCAAAAAATCCTCATTAAAGGATCATATTTATCAATAAATTAAAAATCAACAAATGAATAATAACATGCAGTGTTATAACTTACTGCAAGCAAATTTTGCAACTTTTGAAATTTCATATTTACAACACATTAAATTTGGTAGCATGAGAGTAAAGCATCTCTCTAATACTGCATTAGAAAGGACAAAACCAGCAGAGCAAATAAGTTATGGACTGAATATCATGCCATTGTTACAGAGTTGGCTCTGATTCATGTTGTTTTCTCATTGATATGTCTTTCTACTGACAAAATTCCAACAAGTTATAATTGAACACCCCCCCCCCCCCCCCCTTATAAAATCAATTTTCTCCTCAGGTAAGTTTTGATATGTTAAAACAACAAAGTAATTATTACAAAAATCGATTTACACCTTCACGAGTGTTTTGTTTTTGTTTTGTTTACATTAACCAGGCACAGTAAGTCACACATCAATCCTGATTTCTGTGTCATGTTAGCAAGAATTCAAAATAATGGCAGCTTCTGGTAAATAATTCAAAATACTCCGCATATTTTCATTTCCCATGAATTTTGGTGTCCAGATGTGATCACATGAATGGGGTAAAAAATATGAAAATTTTTTGTTACTGCTGGTACATTCATGTATCACATGTACGCTATAAAAAAATAATGAAGTGCAGAGATGATCTTGGTATAAACATTATGCATTACCTGTGATGCCATGTCCACTAACACAACAAACTTGAGTGACCTCCCCTCGTCCTTGCGAAGATAATCCAGCAGGGCTCCATTGACCATCAGCTCCGTAATGATAAGGATTGGTTCTGTTGTTGTACACACTGCCAACAGCTGTACAAGTTTACGATGGCGTAATTTGTGCATAAGCTTAGCTTCCTGTAGGAAGTCCTCTGCAGACATTGCACCTGGCTTCAGAGTCTTCACAGCAACATCTACTGTATTTCTCCATTTACCTTAATTAAAATTAATTAAATCCCTTCAGTTAAACCATTAATAAGCATACCTGCATTATTCAGAATTGTACCTGTTGATAACATCAGTCACTGAAAATACTGCAAAAACTTAAATCACCAGCTTACACACATACATGTATAGACAGTAAACACACATACATGTATACAATAAACACATATACATGTATAGACATTAAACACACATACATGTATAGACAGTAAACATGTTACATGGTGCTGTATTCATTCATTTACAAACAGACCATGAAGAATATTCAACTAAACAAGAGGTTAAGTACCAGCGTGAACGTCTCCGAAGCATCCACTACCCAGCTTCTTCATCAGTTTGACTGACTCGCGCGCAACTTCTAGTTCACGGAACTGAACAGTTGGCCTTACTTTTGGACATGGTTCAGTTAACTGGCAACAAAGACCATCTCCTACATCTGTTGTTAGTAAAAAATAGAATTTAAAATATTTAAATGAACACTGACTTATATGATTAAAAACTTAACTTCTACATAGACACTGTAATATTACTTAAAGTTTAATAAATACATATCTATCCTAAATACTAAGACATTACTTTGATAGTGATCTATGAGTTTGATCATGCTGGGGAATGTTCGTCGTGGACTGATATAAAATCCTCCATTGTCCATCTTTCTAATTCTGTAGTGTTTTACACATGCATCGTTCGTTTTGGGGTCATGGTCACGTATAGACAACACATAAGAGGCTTTATCTGAAATGAAATATGTAGGCAGTGAATCAGAAAGTTAATTCTTGTTTCACTTATTCTATTTTTAGCACACACTATTACAAGTATTCCTTTTAAAGGAACTGAACTGAAATCAGGATATTCAAATTGTTTACTCCCTAATCTTAAAACATAAAAAATGGACATTTACTCAGGGAAATTATCTGGGATCAAACAATGCTGATCACAATATTTTTGACTTAAAGTTTCCTCATTTCTGCATGATATAATTTTTAAAATGAATTTTGCAAGTCTTTTAGAAATTATATTTGTCCAATTGTCAGGAAGATTTTTTTCACTATTCAATTTTTTTCAGCTATATAAGTAAAGTACCCTTAATGAACTTACCGGCCGCCTCTCGGACTAAGAAGGTTCCCACTTTGTTGCCTGGCAACATTAACTGTTTGTCAGACTCCTTACGGTCCACATTATACCACCAGCTATAAATAAAACTCAGTCGTCTGAACATTTCTACAGTATTTCATAATACTCATTTCATATTTTATAAACCAAATAAAGTCTTAAATATTTCCTAAGAATTAAGAGATTTAAGCTGTCAGCTGCATTTTGAGAGACTTACTCTTGAGTTTGTGGGGTGTCATCGTCTTTAGATATGTAGTTACTGGGGATGTATCCTGTCTGTCCTGTTGCCATGTGACGAGCCATCCACCAATCACAGTTCTGACTGTAAACAAAGAAAAGGATACATGTGTAAAACTATACAAAAAAAAAGACACAAGCTTATACATTATACTAATAATTCCCAATGCATGACTGTTCATATAGAATAATGATACTACTGTACAGCTCTGGTTGTAAAATGTTCATCAGACAATGTCAACACCTACTTCTAGTGATTTCCCTTAAATTAATAGTACATAATTACCTGGACTCCTCCACCTCCATGCGATCTCCCTTTTTGAAAGACAAGTCATCTTCGTTAATGGCATCAAAATCATACAAGGCCCTGACAATCAAGGAGTTTTCTGCAAAGAAGGAGAATATCAAATTATAAAACACATAGTATAAAAGTACTAAAAATAAAACTAATTCTTATCTGAATTCATGACTAACATATTTTGCCTACTTTCCTGTGGATAATTTGCAAAAAGGGAGAATCAAAATGTTTTTGTACCAAGGATACATGTGGTGAGCAACAAATTTACAATTAATACATACATGTACATGTACCACAAATCAAGTTAAATCTTACAGAATGCAGTTTTAAAAAATCCCTTTTCTGTGTTTTTGCAATACTTGTTTATGATGCTCCTATTAATAATTACCTGATTTGGCTGGGGGTGGGGGGAGTGGCCTCTCTGGGTTATTGATACTGACATTGATATTTGATGGAGAAACAACCCCAGGTCCATTCAATTCAGTCGCAGGAGGCGGGCTCTTCTTTTCATTTGGTTTGCTAAAACACTGACCCATATCTGAGCAACAAACAAGCTGTCTGAAATAGAACATTACATGTATACAGTATACATCATGAGTTCTGCAACAATATCCACTTGTATACTGACATTTGATATTAACCTGAGGCATACGAATAAAGGTCCCTATGTTGAAATACACATAGTAATTACCAGTAAATGTGAATGGTATTATGTAATTTCATTTGAAATTTAAATCAAAATTTCAACCATTCTCCTTTTGAAAATTGCGACACATATCAAAGCTTTCCTATTGATGTATAGAAATCAATTTCTTTCTGTAAGAAAATACATCTGCAGATGAATTTTATTTTCCACAGCAAAACTTTTTTTACTTTTTCTTGAAATATTAAATTATTACTCAGGTGGAGACCTATTGCCTAAAACTAAAAGGGACATAATGGCCCATTTAGGATATCATATCTCAAATGAGATGTACATTTATAACTTTTGGCAAGTAAGACTTTCTATAACCTTACAGTTTGAGAGACTGATCCCGAAGAAGTTTTGGATCCTCTTTGGGATCAGTAACAGGTGAGACCCCCCAATAACATGTTCACCCTGAGTGGTTTAACCTCTAGTAACTGTATGGATCTCCCGTTTTATAGTTGTCTTTAGTGTAAAATTATAGCATGAGAGGATCTGGGCAGTTTGTTTTTTGGTCTGTACCATGGAAGAGGTATTTAATACTATTAAAGTGAATCTGATTTTGCTTAATTAGATGAAAAAATGTGATAAAAGATGGAAATCACTAACTATGAGTGGTGATAGCTATAATTAGTATGACTATGCATTGCTTGTGCATATTTCATTGACAAATAGTCTACAGGAACCAAAACATTACTAGTTACTCTCTTAAAATATAACAAATGCATGTTATACAAAATAAATTTTAAATTAAAAACATATATTTATAATTTTATATAATTACATGTATTTGAACCTACAGTATTCTGCTATAAATTTGTGAACAGCAGCAAAAATGTCATTCTTTAACTCTAAGATAGGTTTTCATTAAAATCAGAAATAATTCGGAAATGATTGGCCACTCATTATTAAATCTAAATAATGAAAAAAAAACTGCACTGATCAAATGAATTCCTGAAAGTGACCACACTGCAGAAACATTCATTACACTGTATGTTTGTGGGAAAACCATGAAGGGTGAATCCACTTGCTGCGAACAGATGAAGGGGTGAAACCTCTCAGTCAATATGAATGGGGAATTATGGCAAAATCACTAGGGATCAAATTTAAACAGTAGGGATTGCGAAAATACTTAATACCAAAAAGTTATTCCTTTTCCTTACTTAAAAGTGGATTTACAATATTTATAGCGAAATAAATTTTCTTCATTTATTGCGCTGGAACTGTATATTTTGGACGTCATTATGTTACAGGTAATGAATCTGAACTAGGGTATTCAATTACCAGAGGATATGATCAGAAAATCATAACATTCCATACCTACTTGTTGTGGTAACATTTAAGTCACTACATCATATCTATATATTATTTACTTTTAATTATACTGTATAATAAATCTCTCCTGAAATGTGTATTGTTTACGGAAATCAGTTGATAAAATGGGACAGACACGCCTGTGGCACTTGCGACGGGCACCAGTATCGGATATCATTATTGTTTTGATAAGTATAAATTAAGATCCGTAAATTGTTATTATCATCAAATAACTATACCAGTAAATCATCCAGGAAAGTTTTCCATTTTCTGACTAAAACTCTTCTTTGATGACAAGGAAGTCGGAATCCTATCCGGAAGGTATATTTCTGAAACCACGTAATATCGCGTCAAATCTCGCGAGATTTAATTAAAACGGCACGTCGATTTACCCAAATGGACCCAAATGGAACCCAAATAGACCCAAATGGAAACAAATGGACCCAAATGGAACCCAAATAGACCCAAATGGAAACAAATGGACCCAAATGGAACCCAAATGGACCCAAATGGAAATCAAAATGGACCCAAATGGAAATCAAATGGACCCAAATGGAAATCGAAGGGAATATTAAATATATATTATCGTATTATCAAGTTGTTACTTATTTAAAATGATGAAAATAATGAACTTACAAATGGAGAATATTAATTATTCATCTCTAATATTGTATTTTAGAATACGAATTAATTTTCTTTAGTATTCTATATATCGGCAAAATTATTGGGGGGTGGGGGTGGGGGCACAGGCCCAGTTCCCCCCCCCCCCCGTTCCTACAGCCATGAAAACTATATAAACTTTAAAATGAAATACTTCAATTTTGTATTCAATGATATGCAAAAGTTATTACAAATAGAAAAAAGATTAATTCGTATTTTAAAATACAATATTAGAAATGAATAATTAATATTCTCCATTTGTAATTTCATAATTCTTATCATTTTAAATTAGTAACAAATTGAGAATACGATAATATATGTTTAATGTTCCATTTGGGTCCATTTGATTTCCATTTGGGTCCATTTGAGTTTCCATTTGGGTCCATTTGGGTTCCATTTGGGTCCATTGTGTCCATTTGAGTTCCATTTGGGTCCATTTGGGTAAATCGACGCACCCAATTAAAATGTTCGTAAACTGATTCGACTTGTGCAGAATATTTTATGACTCTGATAGCAGGGATATAGTATATCCCTGCTGATAGCACATAATTTTTAGTTGATTGTTTTTAGATAAATGAATCACATTCATTTTATGCTAACAGTATAGGTTTTATCGTGTGAGAGATTGAGACATATAACATGCTTAAAATTACTTGTCTCTGATACTATAAATTCTACCACGGGCGTATATATGTCCCAGAATCTGAAATGTTTTTGCAAACTTCTTTTCATACCAAGGGAATTATATGTAGATATTTACTTTTAGTTAAACCATTTCTATTTTTTGATAACCGATATCTATTTGCTTCTATGACGTCACAATACACTACTATGTCGTCACAAAAAGACACGTCACAATTGAAAATTATCATAATATCGTTTGTTTCACATAAGAAAGGAGATAACGATAAAATGGGTCGAAAAACAACTTTAAAGGAACTGAAAGAAGAACTTGCACTTGAAAGAGAATGGATGAACCTACATAAAAAATCCTCAGAGGGCTGGATGGGCATCATCAAAGAAATGGAAGAAAAGAAAGAGAAAGAAGTGAATGAAGATAACGAATGGAAGACCAGGTAAACATCAGTGAAATCAATGTAGATAAATTAGGCACACAATATTTTCCGACATCCAATTTTCCTCATGGCAAATAAACAAAAATAAAATAGATACAATGATAAATGAATACATGTAAATAAATAAGTAAAAGCAAAAAAAAAAAAAAAAAAAAAAAAAAAAAAAAAAAAAAAAAAATAAAATAAAATAAAAACAAATATAAAATTCAAATCAATACAATCTGCCAGTATATGGAAGACAATGCATACATAGATATAAGTGGAACACTTCAGCATACTTCTATATTTTTAGGACAGACTTCAGCTTTATAAATCTTGACTATATTTCAATACTCTTTGAATCTATAGTTTTTTTTCATATAGTACAACATTTGTGTGTGTGTGAGGGAGGGTGAGGGTGTGTGTGTGTGTGTGTGTGTAGAAGCATGTTAAAATTAGGTGTAGATAGTATTACTTTGCAAAATTTGAATGGAATGTAGTTGTGTTTGCATTTGAGAAATTCCGCATTTGGAAAAGTTCTTTCGGGAAAAGAAAGTTTACGATTTCGATACTTACCACACTTGCGTGGTCATTAACAAAAAAAAAAAAAGGATAAATAAATTTAAAAAAAAAAGAACAAAAAAAAAGAAAGAAAAACTAATGACAATGACTTATTTACGATTGTATCCATCAATAACTGTGTCTGATAACTTCGGTTGTGCCCGCTCCTTAAACATACATTAACATCACACTGCTTAAAAAAGATCTTTCACTCAGGTGGCTTAAAACGGGTTCCAACTAGTTTAAAGATAATAGATTGATAAAAGGGTAATTTCATAAGATTTCATAAGATAATTTCATAGGATAAAATATTCAGTGGTTTAAATATTCAGTATTGAACTGATAAAAAATGAAGGTCCTCACCAATAATATTGTAACAACTGCTCTCTCACACGCGTTATTTATTTAACATATGCTGAAGGACAAAGAACGGTATACGTCAAATACTTAATATCAAGGGGTTTATGTAAATTTAAAAAATTAAGTTACTGATCTCTCATTTCTAGCTCGCCTGAGCCAAAGAGTCAGGCGAGCTTTACTGATATGATTCAGAATTGTTCAAATAAAAGACTATGCCAAATTTAAAAAAGGAAGATAATCAAGAAAAGGTAACATTAGGGTGGGGTCATTAGAAAATCTCTTTCTAAAGGAAAACTACACGTATATCAGAGGGTAGGGTTGGGCCTGCCCTGCCAAAATAAGGGATTATAGTTTTACATGCACGTGCATAAGGGAATTCATAGGAAAAAAAACTCTTTGAGAATCTTATAATATCTTATTGTAGACCCATCATATATAGGGACCCATTTTTTGGAAAAAAAAATATTTAAGGATGATTGAGTATACAATATGACTAAATCTTCTTAAGAGAAAAAGTTTTACATGAGAATATATAAGAATTCATTGAAAATCTGTTACCAAAAGTATTGATGGGTCATGATTAGTCATAATAATATGCAAGCATCCTCAGGTATTGCTGACTCAAGTTTGTTGTAAATCATGCCTCCATGGTTTATAGGGAGGTTACAATATGGATCATAGTTTTACACGGGAATACATATACATGTATATACAAGTACTATATAGAAAATTAAAAGATTGCATGTATACAGGGGAAAATCTTCCCTAGAACAACAAGACAATGTTAGTCAAATTGACATTGTAGCATCCCGATATTGTATGGATTTAAGTTTGGTTAATTCATGATCTTTTGAGGATAGTATAGGCCACATTAATCTTTCGTTTCAAATAAAGAGTGGGGAAAAACCATTTTTTCTTTTCGGAAGAACAGTAGTGCCAAAATTTCTCAGGTGAGCGTTGTGGCCCATAAGCTTTCTTTATTTGCCCATCCAGACCTTCATATATACTGATATCGTTAAACATATCCCTCTTCTCTGTCCCTGTAGATATAACTACCAGTGCATGTACAACTCCTCTCTGCGGAGACAGATAAAGAAGATGAGATCGGAGGCCCGTCAGCTACGGACCGGAGTATCACTGGCACAGGTCAGCGCTAAAATGGACCGCATGTCCACAGCCAAATGTAGACAGCACATCAAACATCTAAAAACCGAACTCATATCTCTCAGAGGTAAGGAAATAGCTAATCAATTAGGTACAGTCGAATTTAAAACATAAATTTTGTTCTAATTTATTTTAATTATTTACAACAAATTCTGAATAAGTTGATTCAGCTTTGCATACATCTCAATATATTAGCGACCTCATTTCAACTTCTGTTAATCAGGACTGTATATTATTTAATTACATCTCTTCTGTCCTTTGGAAATTTGTATATGTCATATAATTACATCTCTACTTCTGTCCTATAGCTATATTTGTGTGTATGTAATGTAATCACACCTCTAGTTCTGTCCATCAGGACAACATATCATTTAGATCTACATCTGTCATCAAGGAAAGTGTTATTGCATTTTTATGTATCAGGTCTGTGTATGTCATGAAATCATATCTCTACTTTTATGTCTCAGGTCTGTGTATGTCATGTTATCACATCTCTACTTCTGTCCTCTAGGACTGTGTATGTCCTAGAATCACGTCTTTACTTCTGTCCTCTAGGACTGTTTATGTCATTAATCACATCTCTACTTCTGTCTTCTAGGACTGTATGTCATATCATCACGTCTCTATCTGTGTCCCTTGGGACTGTGTATGTCATATTTTCATGTCTCTACTTCTGTCCCCCAGGACTGTGTATGTCATGTAATTACATCTCTACTTCTGTCCTCTAGGACTTTGTTTTATGTAATCACATCTCTACTTCTGTCTTCTAGGACTGTGTATGTCATATAATCACATCTCTACTTCTATCCTCTAGGACTGTGTATGTCATGTAATCACATTTCTACTTCTGTCTTCTAGGACTGTGTATGTCATGTAATCACATCTCTACTTCTGTCCTCTAGGACTGTGTATGTTATGTAATCACATCTCTACTTCTGTCCTCTAGGACTGTGTATGTCATGTTAACACACCTCTACTTCTGTCCTCTAGGATTGTGTATGTCGTATTACCACATCTCTACTTCTGTCCCCTAGGACTGTGTATGTCATGTAAACACGTTTTACTTCTGTTCCCTAGGACTGTATATGTCATGTAATCACATCTCTACTTCTGTCCCCTAGGACTGTGTATGTCATGTAAACACGTCTTTACTTCTGTCCCCTAGGACTGTGTATGTCAAGTAATCACGTCTCTACTTCTGGTTTCAGGATTGTGTTTCTCATGTTATCACATCTATACTTCTCTGTATCAGACCTATGTATGTAATGGTGTCAGATCTCTAGGACTGTGTTTGCCATGTAATCACATCTCTACTTTTGTCTATCACGACTGTATAATCATTTAAATCCCGTCTCTAATTATGGCATTCAGAACTTTGTCATGTAATTACATCTATTCTCTAGGACTGTGTATGTCAAATAACCATCAACTGGACGAGGAGTCGGCGGCCTATATCAGAGCTCATGAGGAAATCCAGTCGATTGTGAATGATGTCTGGTTTAAACAGGCGACCAAGATAGAAGAACAAGAGAGAATGGACAGGGCATTGCCAACCATAAATGTCCAACCACGACTGGATAGTAGCTCCAGTGTTCAAATCAAAAAGCCGGACAAACTGCCACCAATAACAAAAAATCCTCTCCAGAAAAAGTCCTCTTACTTACAGATGTATGAAAAGTCTAAAGCCAAAAGGCACAACAACAAAGCACAACACAAATCTGCAAAAAAGAAGGTTCATTTCTCAGTCGAATCGGATCTCGTTTGATTCCTGGACGAGGTCCCATGTTGTATTGGAGTTGGAGTGTTGATGGTGTATTACAGCCACCAATCTTCTCAGTGGTACTCCAGGCTCAGAAAACAAGTCACTCCCCGTATCCCACTCACGAGAATCACGGGAGCAGTGACAAGCATTTTTAATGATGAACTCCCGATCATTATACACTTTTCCCCTAAATTATTTCCATCTCATATTCTATGGTTCATGTTTTTTTGTCTATGAAATAATGAATCAAAAAATTATATAATAAATATTTTACTGTACAAAACAAGAATAATATTTTGAACAATATATAAAATACACACATAAATATATCAACTGATTAAAGCATCGTAATTTACAATATGGCAATATTCGGCGCCTTCTTTGAGTAACAAAGAAGAATCAACGAAGTCGCATCAGTCCATAATATAGTTTGCACCGTCGTGAAAATAATCTTGGGGCACATTATTTACTAGAGAAAAGCTGCATCTACAATGAAGTCAAAAGATTAGAAAATCATCTCATTTAATTTCTGCACAAATTCAATTAAAACAGGCCGGAGAACGCGAGGGGGGGCTTTTTCTGAATATAGCCTTATGCTCTAGTTTGGAAATTTGTTTTAGATGCTGGTTGCCCCCCCCCCCTTTTGTTGCTGTAAGATAAATACTAGCAAATTCCAGCATTTGAAAAAAGGTACCAAAATGTTAGAGACCCCCCCCCCCCACGAAAAAGGATTTTCAAGTTTGGGTAGTTTACTTTTTTCTTTTGCTTGTCAATTTTTTTTTTTGGAGCCCCCCCCCCCCCCCCGTTTTAAAAGCGTTGCTACGGGCCTGTCTAAGAGATAAAAAATGCAATATTAAAGTAAATATACAATATCTGTAATTGTCATACCACAGTGTCTCCTAACGCCTGGAAGCTACCGCGCCGTGGCGCTGTATGTCTGGGTTCAGAAAAACTGAACAGGCTTCCTGTGCTGCTTTTCCGCTCATAGCGTTCAGAGTCCTACGATACAAATGCTGAATTTAAATATTTTTTTATGGGTAACACATATTAAAGATTATTTTTGCGTTACCAAAAAAGTGGGAAAAAAAATAAACCAACCCGTTGACCATGCAGACAACTTTAGTCTGGTACCCTTCCCACAATTCCGTTCGCGCACTCTCTACGTGCGCGAACGGAATTGTGGGAAGGGTACCAGACTACAGACAACCTTTGCCATTTCCAACTTTCAACGGGAGAGTTCTTGTGGTAGTTGGTCTAGGTAAAGTTTACAGTAAAACTTGTCTAATCCGGACACCACTGGTTCCAAAGACACTGGCCAGATTAGACAATATTCCGGATAAGACAACATTTTAATCAACTGAATTAGGGACTTGAAGGATTTTGGAACACACAACAACATCCGGATTAGACAAGTTTCACTGGAAATGGAAAGATCGCTGTTCTAGCTATGTTAATCTATAGTACAAGTATTTGGTAATAAAAATGGCATTTCTCAAGCTTGGATAAAGAAAAGAATTGCATTATTTCAAGATTAAATATAAGCACCACAGTGACAAACATGCTGAATAAAACAGGAAAAAATTAATTTAAAAAAATCAAAATCATATTTGAACTCTTTGACAACTAATTAATTGCAACATTTTAGCTTAATGAGCTCATTATTTGTGAAAGTTTCAGATGAATTCGTTTATGTGTTTGTTTCGTATTTTGTCAATTCTATTCAATGTACTTACGTGATTATACTGCCCCATGTTTTGGAGACTTGGACGTCGGTTTCTGTCTATGTAACCTCCATCATCTGGAGTCAGATTAATGGCAGGGGTACCGCCACCTGGCGGCACTAAGCTAAACCTCCGCAGCGGTTCCTTGCTTGACACCGTCAGCATTTCTTTTTCCTGTGATGATATTTTAGACCATGGTATGACTGATTTAATACTTACATAATGTGATAAACAGCTTACTATTAAATAAATCCCAAAATATGCTATATATTTACAATGAAACTTCTGTATGACGATCAAATGTAACATGGTGAATAATATGCTGAATGATGACGGGTTTTGTTATGAAACTTAAAACTAAGTGGCGGATTTAAGGCGACACCCATCCCTAAAATTTCCTCTTCATTTTTTTTTTGAGGGGGGAGGGTTAAAAAATAATCTTTTGATAAAAAAGAGTTAAAAAATATACAATTTAAACAAGAGTTTAAATTATAAGCAACAACTTCATACAATCCCAAAACAGACAATTTATATAATGCATTGTATTTTTGCAAGTGAAAATATTTGACCCAACTACCCCCATATGGAAATCCTGGATCCTAGACTAATGAGTAAAAACTCCGTCAAGGACACAGGCTGAAATGCTTTTAAAGTTTTGTTTTATATCTACAAAAATAAAAATATTAAAAAAATAATAATAACTAGATGAGATCTCGTTGCGAGCAACGAGTGGGTCTTCCGTCCGATTTTTTTGATAAGATGAGATACGAATTGGACTGAGATTTTCGTTCATAATATATAAATAGTGAAAACGTACAATTTGCTTCAGTTATGTTTAACAAAATTTTGATCATTATGGCACCAAAAAACGCAATATTTGATGAAGATTTTAAAATATTTATAGTAACAGATCGTGAAGATGAAGCATTCTGGCCCCTTATGGCCCCTAATAACGTAATATTTGAAGAAAATTTTAAGACATATAGTTGCAGATTGTGAAGATGAACATTTTTGCTTCAATAATTAATATCAAAATATTTAACGTTAAGGAGTTATAGATGAAAGACTTTTGGCCCCTCTGATCCCCTAATTTAAGGGGTCAGCCCCTTTTTCTTGATATCACTTGAAAGGTCTTGTAATTCTGAAGACTTTTTGTTCAACAACTATTCAGAAGTTTCGTTTCGTTTTCGAGATATGTAGACTTGAAATATATAGGGGCCGTCCCTTTAAGTCCTTATAGGGGCTGTTTAGGAAAAATTCAAAGGATGCACATTGTTCAGATCATCATTCTAAACAACTTTTGTTCAATATTGCTTTTCAAAATGTTTCCCCTTTTCGAGATATAAAGCTTCAAAGATTAAGCATTCTGGCCCCTTATGGCCCCTTATAACGTAATATTTGAAGAAAATTTTAAGACATATAGTTGCAGATTGTGAAGATGAACATTTTTGCTTCAATAATTAATATCAAAATATTTAACGTTAAGGAGTTATAGATGAAAGACTTTTGGCCCCTCTGAACCCCTAATTTGAAGGGTCAGCCCCTTTTTCTTGATATCACATGAAAGGACTTGTAATTTTGAAGACTTTTTGTTCAACAACTATTCAGAAGTTTCGTTTCGTTTTCGAGATATGTGGACTTGAAATATTTAGGGGCCGTCCCTTTAAGTCCTTATAGGGGCTGTTTAGGAAAAATTCAAAGGATGCACATTGTTGAGAACATCATTCTAAACAACTTTTGTTCAATATTGCTTTTCAAAATGTTTCCCCTTCTTGAGATATAAAGCGTCAAAGATTTAGCATTCTGGCTCCTTATGGACCCTAATTACGCAATATTTGAAGAAAATTTTAAGATATATAGTTGCAGATTGTTAAGATAAACAGTTTTGCTTCAATGTTTAATAACAAAATATTTAACGTTAAGGAGTTATAGATGAAAGACTTTTGGCCCCTCTGAGCCCCTAATTTGAGGGGTCAGCCCCTTTTTCTTGATATCACATGAAAGGTCTTGTAATTCTGAAGACTTTTTGTTCAACAACTATTCAGAAGTTTCGTTTCGTTTTCGAGATATGTAGACTTGAAATATTTAGGGGCCGTCCCTTTAAGTCCTTATAGGGGCTGTTTAGGAAAAATTCAAAGGATGCACATTGTTCAAATCATCATTCTAAACAACTTTTGTTCAATATTGCTTTTCAAAATGTTTCCTCTTTTCGAGATATAAAGCTTCAAAGATTAAGCATTCTGGCCCCTTGTGGTCCTTATTTATGTAACATATGACGTAAAAATCATAATACATAGTTTTAGTTTGTTATGATAAATAATTTTGCTTCAGTAATGTATACAAAAATATTGCTTGTTTAAGAGTTATCGATTAAAGACTTTCGGCCCCTATTGGCCCCTAATGTGATGAGTCAGCCCTTTTTTCTTGATACCATATTAAAGATCTTGTCATTCTGCACAAATATTGTTCAGTATGTTTTAACAAAATAATTATACTTTAAAAGATATGATACAAAATGTCTCAAAAATTCACTCATGATTCGTGACCTAAATTTCGACCCCTACCGAGCTTCCATACTAGGCACTTCCGGAAAATATCTAAACCCAGGTGCAATATGGCAACATGTCCTCTATCATCACTGAAAATTTCAGCGCTCTAGCTTAAGCCGTTTTTGAGTTCCATCGCAGACAAGGAGGTCCTCTGAATTTTAATAAAAGGGCGATAACTTCCGACCGGAAGTGATTTTCAAAAAACGATATTGCCGGAATAAACTTCAGATGTCAACGCATCTACCATGAAAATTTGAATAAAATCGAACGAGCCATCTCCGAGAAATCTTCTGCACAAATTTTGTAAAGAAAAAAAAGAATAATAATAATAATAATAAAGGTAAAAAAGAAACCGAAGAATAATAGAAAGGTCTTCCGCTGAAGACGCGGAAGACCCTAATAAAGGTGAAAAAGAAACCGAAGAATAATAGAAGGGTCTTCCGCTGAAGACGGAAGACCCTAACTAGATGCGATCTCGTTGCAAGCAACGAGTGGGTCTTCCGTCCGATTTTTGATAAGATGAGATCAGAATTTGACTGATATTTTTGTTCAAATATAATGATAAAAATAAATTGTTAAGACGAAAATTTTGCTTCAGTAGTGTGTATTAAAATATTGATCATTAAAGAGTTATAGATTAAAGACTTTCGGCCCGTCCTGGCCCCTATTTTGAGGGGCCAGTCCTTTTTTCTTGGTATCTTCTTATAGCTCTCATGATTTTGAACATTTTTGTTCAACAACTATTCTGAAATTCTTTTTCGCTTCCGAGATATATGCAAAAGAAATATTTAGGGGCTGGCCCTTCAACTCCTTAATGGGGGCGTTTAGCAAAATTGAAAAGGTTACATATTGTTTAAAACCTTATTTTGAACATCTTTTATTCAACACTGCTTATCAAAATATTTCCCAATTTCAGGATACAGAGTGCCAAAGATTTGTCATTCTGGCCCCTTGTGGCCCCTAATTATGTAACATATGATGTGAATATTATGATATA